AAAGAACTGGGCAAATATGAATTTATAACAATCATATTTCAATGTGGTCACTGAAAACACAAACTATTTCGCTTCCAAAAATTTGCGTCCTGCTGTGAAAAATTACTCTGGCTGGCTAGCAGTGTTCGAATTCTCAGGAAATCAGTTAAATTAATTTTCCAATAATTTGATAACAATTAGTGCAGATTATTTCTCACCATTTCTTTGTTACTGTCCCATACAAAAAATTTCGTGAACAAGGGTGGACAATGTCCACACCCTGGCATTGGCCCAACTGCTGGCCACAAAACTCCGCCGCAAGCCAGATGAAACAAACTGGATATAGTCAGTATCAAATAACTGGCCAACGCATGGGCTGCCCTTGCGAAGATGCGTTTTTTGCATAGCTCCCCGCAGATTTTTGTTACTATCGGCACTGGTTTTTCCAGCAGATGCTTCCAGCTAAAAAAATTTCACACTGGCTGCCAGGACTGTCAGGAAACATCCCCTCAAAATTCCAGTCTTTTAGCTTCTCACGTTCCCGAGTTAGCAACTTACCCGAAAGAAACTTTCACGGGCCCGTACGTAGGTACCACGCTTACCCGCGAGCAAGGTTTGAGCTCGTTAATACCCGGGGAACATCCGCCTAAGATTTCAGCTTTCTAGCTTCTCAGATCCCCGAATTATGAACTTACCCGAGAAGAATTTTGGCGGGCCCGTACGCAAGTACCACGCGGGTAATGGCGCTCATTTTGGGGATTGGGACCCATATGTGCATAAAGATTAAGTTCACAGGGTTTCAGCCCTGCAGCTTTTATAGGTCTTGAGATGAAAAATCAAGACAGACGGCACACACAGACAAGCATTGCATAGCAGCAAAAAACTCATAAAAAGTGTTTTGGCTATATGAAATTGTGTCCACACAGTTTTCGGATATGCGTAGGCTCTCTCAATTCCCAGCTTTCTAAGAGTCCAGTTGCACTCATACTGGTGGTCTCGGCCTTTCCGATTACCACAGTATGCTTGGTGCGCTGCTGGCATCCCTGTGGTACTTACCCATTTCTTTATCATTCCACTGCTTTCGTTTCCTGCCACAGGAACGCTGTCTGCAATAATGCACGTCGAGCAAAACATTATATGGCAAGCACTATTAGCTCATGTAGGTCACTTCAAGAATTCCCTGGCCACTTCAAAAATTCTTAACGATGATCATATTCTGAACATGAATCCATTAGTACTAAGGACACTATACTCTTTGGAAGCTGAATTTAAATTTTGAGAAGGTAAGACAGTAAAAATTATGAGCTTGTAGGTTAGTCAAAAATTAGTTTTGAAAAAAATGGCTTTGTCAGGGAATGTTTCTTTTTTTAGAGAAAACTACAAAAAGAAGAGGAATTTTCAGGATTCTTTGAACGAGTCCTCGCAGGATCCTTGTTGGATCCTTTTTTCCTTTGTGCATTTGGCGGTTAAGAAAAAACAGAAAATGAACGGGATGCAGAAAGGTTAGTGATCTGAAGAAAGCAAACTTCCGCATTGTAGGTCTTTTTTGTCACAAAATGTTTCATCGACGCGCTCGATGTATCCTGGCTTTTGTGTTTTCTTTTCATCTGTATACAAAAACGACGCGGTCGCTATATCGTCTGTAAAACAGAGATCATCAGCTAAAGTTCAAGATTTTCAATTTTTTAAAATTTGTTGAAAAGCGGCATTTTTTACTCATTCGAAGCCTTACTAATGAATCCTTAGACTGTGGAAGGCATTTTTTGGAAAGTTTTTACCGGCTTTAGATGAAGTTTGCTTTTTCGAAGATCCACTACTGACAGTGGCTGTGAGCAGCACTCCGGCGCCAACACCATATCCGACGCCTTTTGGCCCAAACAAATACTTGTAACAACGATTGCAGTACAACTGAATTACAACGTGCTTGACAACTGGATGACAAAACGTGAAGGATGTACGAAGTTTTCACTGACTGTGGAGAAACCAGAATGTTCTACCTTCTCTTTGTGATCATTGTACGACCGGCTGTCCATATACTTACCACATTCTGGATTTGCTGCAAAAATCATCTGCTTCGGAAAATTTACTTAAAAAGAAATTTCTTTTCTTTTGAACTTTTCATTCAGATTTCTGGCTTACATACATTGATTTTTAGCTTTTCTAATTTTGGTGCTATAAACTGGAAATTATGGAAGACTAGTTCACCAAACAGTTTCATGTAGCACTGACTTCACCATTACTTATCACTTAGATTCAGAGTTACGCCAATTTTGTAAATTGAAATAAAGCAACCAAAACTCCGAACTGTAAATCTCAAATTTACCAAATAAGACAAATAGGGCAAAATGTGCTATGAATCCGAAAATTTGGTGCATATCACCTGCTAAATCAATTAGAGATCACTGTAACCAACTCCAGTACCTTTGCGCGCTTTAGCTCTGCACTGCAAAAATGTGTAAAAAGTAACGTAAAAAACCAAAACCTCATCTCTTATTGGTCTTTAAAAATATCATAAAGAAGAATCCTTTGTCACCAACTTGTTTTCTTTGTGATTTTAAGCGAACCCAACAAATTTTCCAACATCACAAAAAGAGAAAAAAGAGAATAATTTTGATGGTATTCAGTTATGGAAAAATATCACTTCGTTGCTCTGCTGTGGATTTTGCTTCTCAAAAAAAAAAAACAGCAAAAAAGAATTATGAAAAATTTCGAAGGATAATTATTTGACGAAAGCTCATACCGCAACGGAAGCAATATGAATGCCAGTAATTTCCCGCAGCCTGCACCATTTCCGCAAAATAAACCGGTAAGCCACATTTACCGCAGTGATGCTTACGCATCACATGCATCAATCGTAGCACTGGAAAAATTGCAGAAGCAGTCTTTTGAGTAACAAAAATGCAAATCGACATTGCTCACTGCACTATAGGAAAAAAAACTGCGCCAAAGCTACCACTACAGTTAATAAGGGTGCAGGTTGAAAACAGAACAAGCAAGAAGAGCTAATTAAATAAATGGCCAACGCACGGGCTGCCCGTGCGAAGATGCGTTTTTTGCAGAGTTCCCCGC